TCTATCTTTTTTTGATTAAATCCATTGGATAATACTAAATGGTTCAATTGTTCTCATACATATTGTTCTTTACTATGGCTCTCTGAGTAATATAACTCTATCAAACCCCTTGTAATTTTCACAAAAACTAATTAAGTAATAAAAGTATGAATAATTCATGCTGATATTGTATCATTTCATATCAGTACAGCTCAAAACCCAAAGCTGCAATATGTTGCACCAGAAAATGATGGTAGGTTGGATTCCCCCAATTAAAGGTTAACACACAACCATTCATGTGTGAATGGTGAGCAGGTGTATTAAATCTGGTGTCACTGCTGTTGCATGGTTAATAATTAATTAATAAATCAATTAATTAAAAATCTTCTTTAAGGAACATTTGGCTATCAGATTATTAATCAATTAATCAAAAAAATAATTGATTGATTGATTTGCAAAATAATCATTAGTTGCAGTTGATTCCGGTAGCAATCTGTGAAACTCAAATTAACGCCATGCCCAGGAGGTTTAAGGATGTCTTGGTAAATATGGTGGCCACACAAATTGGACACTTTGAGGAACTGTTGGACATTTTTACTGAGGGGTGTTTTCACTTTTTTTTGCTAGGCTAAATGTTTAGTTACTTAGAGTGGAAATTTACAATGCTATGCAGAGTTTCATATCTTTAGTGTTGTCCCAAGAAAATATATAAAAAAAAATATTTACAAAAATACAATTGTACTTACTTTTGTGACACCATTATATTTAAAAAAAATTAATCTGATTACATTCACAATGCCTTACTCTCAATGCCTTATTTTTCATATCATACCTATACCTATAATATATCTTTTACAAATGCTGTCGTTCATTTAGCTATGAAAATACATGATAGATTTTTTTTTTCAGTATTATCATAGATCCATAACTGATGATCAATTATTTCCTTGTCAGACAAAGTGGCCATTAAAATCTTAGACAAAACTAAGCTGGATCAGAAGACGCAGCGGTTACTTTCCAGAGAGATCTCCAGTATGGAAAAACTACACCACCCCAATATAATACGTCTGTATGAGGTTTGTCTTTAGATTTCCTTTAATCTTCTGATCTTTTAAACCAGCCTTCCTCATTCTGACCACGCTTTTCCTCTAAAGGTGGTGGAGACCTTGTCACGGCTACACTTGGTGATGGAGTTTGCAGGTGGAGGCGAGCTCTACACCAAGATTACTACAGAAGGGAAACTTTCTGACACTGACAGCAAGATTGTCTTTGCTCAGATCCTCTCTGCTGTTAAACACATGGTCAGTACATACAAGCTAATGTTGATGGGATATGTATTGAGAAAGAATAGCATTAAATTCTTAGTGAATTTGCTGATATCCTGAATTAGCTACATGGTCTCGCGGCATTGGCTAATGGAACAATGCTTTTTGCTATCAAATAAACATTTAAACAGTATAATGCAAAAGGCTACTTTCACACTGCAAGGGAATGTTATCAAAATCATTGGCGACTCATATCAGACTTTTTTACTACAGCCTAAATGGCTAATTTCTGATCTTTATACTCCCTAAAAAAAATCCAATTTGAGCCTCTTTCATATGGATTTCTAAATCTGATGCTTCTCTGATGTTATCTTAAAGTTGTAGGGAAGTCATATTTAAATGTCGAATCATTCTGGCTTAAACATGTATATAAATCTACTCTTTATCAGACGATATTGTCCCAAAAGTTAGAAAATGTTTTTTTATTTATTTTTTTATTCTGTCTTAAAATCTGTTTTTTTTTTCTTTCATTATCTTATGCATGCCAGTTAATTATAAGTCAGCTTGAACACCTAAATTCGGCCAATGATATATCAACGGTCATCTGTCATTCAAATTTTTTCGGTCATAGCATCTTGATTTATATACGCAACGGTTAAAATAAGAACGTCCCAGTGTTCATGGGGATGGACGTCTGTGTCTTTAGCAGGCGTAGAGCTAACAGAACCGGCAGCGTTGCAAGGAAGGGACTCAAACATGTACGGCTGTAAGCCTTCTACACCAAACAAAGCTTCTACTGCCCTGGCGTCCTCTTCCACAATAACTTCGTCACTGCTTTCCTCCTCTGAATAAAAAATGTATGATGGAGGAGACTCATCCACGACCTCCGACTCAAAACTCTCCTCCTCTTTCATGTTTCCGCTATCCATAGCGTTCCTTGACAGTGTCGTTGCTAAGTGCTACTTGGTCCCAATGTAATTTCCCATTGGGAACCTACTAGCACTAAGTTGCTAACTGGTTGGCAAGATGCTTGTTGTGTGAATGTAGCCATAGTTAAAGTCTGGTTTATGAAAGACTAGGTATTAGGGAGGACTTGATAAAGTCCTCTTGGAAGTAAATTCTTTCACTATTGTAAAGTTACTCACAACCACAACCACAGCACTGCTGTATTTGCATGAATCAATCAAAAGTCAGACAATTTATTTCTTCCTTTGCTTCTTTCCTTCCTTTCTTCTGAATAGTTTTTATTTTATGTTAATTTCCTTCACTATGATCTAATCCTTATGACACTATACCATAAAATATCATTAATAGCTTTTTTGTTAAACTATCGCATATTACTTACATGTGCTTAACTACAACATCCAATTAGCAAATCAGTCTTTTTCTAGAATTATTGGAATCATAATAACTTGCAGTGCATTACGTGTTGATTTATTTAAGGTTATTTAATTGTATAATATAATTGTATAATACTGCCCTGTTTTATCTGGAGTACTCTACCCTTGGATGAATCTTGCATAGGTAGATGATTTGTTTATAGATTTCTTTTGTTCTCCCATAGCATGAAAACAACATCATCCATCGTGACCTTAAAGCAGAAAATGTTTTCTACACAAGCAGCTCTTGTGTCAAAGTTGGGGACTTTGGATTCAGCACATTGAGCAGCCATGATGAGATGCTCAACACTTTCTGTGGTTCTCCACCCTATGCTGCTCCAGAGCTCTTCCGGGACGAACATTATGTTGGAGCTTATGTAGATATTTGGGCTTTGGGAGTCATGCTGTTTTTTATGGTGACAGGCACCATGCCATTCAGGGCAGACACTGTGGCCAAACTAAAGAGATGCATCATGGAGGGGGCCTACACACTGCCCTCATGGGTGTCAGAGGCATGCCAGAGGCTAATCGGGGGGATTCTCCAGCCCATTCCATCTGACCGCTATACGGTGGAGCAGATGATGGGCTGTGAGTGGCTTCTCCCTGTGGAATTCCCATGTGCAATGGAGCCCTTTAAACTAGATCCATTTCATCTCGCCGAGAGCAAACCAACAGAACTGCAGGAGGAAGAACTGGAGGTAAAGGCTGCATTAGAGACTCTAGGAATCACTTCAGAGCACATCCTTAACAACCAGGGGAAAGACTGCAGAAGCTCCATCACTGGGGTCTATCGGATCCTACTACATCGGGCTCAGAAGAAAAGGGTTGTTGAGAGGGCCCCTGCTGTCACACAGAAAGTCGGACCGACTACAGCAAATAAGAAGGAAAGGCTAAAAGCGTATCGCAGTTTACGTCACACATCTAAACTTTGTATGATTCTGTGACAAAAAAAAAATGTATGCCTTGCTATGGAAGGTGACTGATTATATATTCTGGGGTGAAATTGCACAAATTAGGAATAGGAATGCTTTTCAGTCCGTAGGTAGAAATAAAACTAAAGATAATATAAAAACTCACTCAGCTGCTGAAACTTGATATTTCTTACTTACTATCTTTTATTTTTCCTCTTAATCTAGTCTCTGTGAGATGTGTCGGAAAGTTGAATGATATACTTTATTTTTCAGAAATTCAATTCTTATTAGATTTGAAATTATATGGAATGTACATTTGTTATTTAACAGAATCGTTATATTGCTAATGAATCTGAGTCATATAGACAATATACTTCTAGTTTACATGCTTTATATATCAGAAACTGAAAAAAATCAACGACATGGAAAGTAAAGCATACATTCAATACATTAAATATGATATATTTGATGTTTAGTTGCACCTTACTCCAATGCCTTAAGTCTTTTTATTGTTTTGAAATCAGAATGGTTTCAGTGCTGTTTATGAAATTACAAGGAGAATGTTCACATATGTGGTGTATCTCTATGAGATGTTACAAATATTCACCTCACTGACCTCCATATGTTGGATTTGGACTTTAAGATGTTGCTTTATTAAAACAAGCTTTCAGTACACATTTACAGACTGACAGAACACGAATCAGCGGGGTGACACATTATTTGTAGGTTTCAGGAATGAGACAAATTATCTCAGAATATCAGGTTTTCCTAAATCATGCAATACCATGTCAATGCTAATGTGCTTTTTGAAATAAATGTGAAGTAAAAACTAAACTGCTTCTGTTTATTAATGAACTACTGGCTGACATTTAGGATTGTGGAGTATAAATTATATATACTTTAGCTTTGAATATCATGCAGTTTAAGAAGTTTTGATATGAATTTTAAGCTGATAAATGCACAAGTTCCTTTAACAATGGCTAAAAGGCTGCATTTAGCTAAATTATTTTTTAAATAAAATTATGACATTAGAATATCATTTTATTTGTTTAAATTGTAAAAAATTATTGAGAAAGAAGCAGAAGGGAAGAGATCCTTTATACTAGATTAATAACTGGACATACCTACTTAAATGAGTTTTTGTTTGTAGTAGGGAAGGGAAATAATGATATATGTGAGGGTTGTGAAAGAAAAGAAAATGTGGATCATGTTTTGATGTAATTAATACTTTTTTGAAGTAATTATGGAAAAAGGGAAATAATTCAGTATTAAAGGAATTTTAGGGACAGATGGGGATAGGGAGGAAAAATTTGTTATTGATAAAGCTTTGTTTTTATTTGTACATAACACAAAAATACAAAAAAAGAGTATAGTGGGTGGAACTGTAGAGCTACATACTCATGTACAGTAGGTGGCGGTATGCATCTATAAGTTGTTTGCAATCCGCCAATCTAAAGAAGAAGAGCTTCCGCCTTTGCGTGATGACGCATTTTCTGCCCTGTTGGAAGGTGGTTTCAGAAAGAAGCTGTAGCTGTAGACGGTAGCGGAAGAAGAAAAGCTGAGTATAGAAGGCAAACGGCATTGAACAGCTCATTTGAATTGGTGCTACTTTCTGTTATTAAACGGTAAGAAACATCTTTAAATTTCTACCTCTTTTGAAATGCTTTTTGTGCTTCTTTTAAATAGTAGCCACGCCTTTTTCATTAAACTAGAACGAGTCGAGCTAATATAAGTCTGTCGGGCCATAGACATTCCCCTGGTTTGGTTTTGCTAGAATTAAATAAGCTGCAATTTCATGCTATTTCCTCATATAATTGTATTATATGATATAATTTTACACACGTTATTTTACGTTTCATCCTTTAACATATATTGAAATATATCACTTCTGTTGAAAACCATGGTCAAGACAGTTAATGTGAACATTTGTGAGCATTTGAAACGCGTAGTATCAAGCAATTGGTTTTGCGGGTTATTTGTTTTGATACTTGATACTGAATCAGATCTCGTGACATTGGAGGATAAGGGGGCGTGGTCAATTAGCGGATGAGGTAATGGTGAATGTTTGAGATGATGCAACACACGTTTACATACATTCTCTATATTTTGGCAGCTATTGAAACAAGAGATAGCGATATACTTTAAAATAATTCAGGGAATTTTTTGCATGTACAAGATTTGGCTTTATCCTCAGCCTGCAGCCCCCACGTGGAGCCAAATGCAGTCAAAGAGAAGGGGCCCCTTTGTTCTGATGCATTGTTTGAAATACATTGATTGGGAAAGAGGAGCTAGACTCTATCATCTAAAGCACATTTTGTTTCTCGTTTTTTAATATGATTACATGCATACCTATTTATACCAAATGCATAAAGTGTCTATTGTGGAAAACCATTGATACTCGTGCAGCTGGTGATGATGGGTAAGAGTAGTAAAATTACATTATTTTGATTTTAGTTGAAGTTCACTACTCATTCTTTAGCTCCATTGTGGCTTGGGGAAAAAAATGAATAAAAAATAACAATCTGATTAACTTCTTATACGCTCATGTAATAACAGTTTATAATAATAAAAATTCATCTGAAAGGGAGTGTTTTAGTTAACTCACCTTTATGATTTTTTTTTTAAAGTGTAGTTTTATAGGCTAAAGCTTGTGGATAAAGACTGCTGTCAGTTTTTGGATAAATGTACTATAATCTTTGCTGTATTTAAAATATCTTTATATTTTCACTCATGACACCAAAAATCATATATTATTTTATCCGCATTGTATATGATAAACTAAAACAAAGGGTTAAGGATTTCTTTTTTTTTTTTTTAAAGACCATTTGTGAAGTTCCTGTTTCAGATTCAAAACTGGACTTTGGTCTGAGCTTTGACTGATCCACTTTATCTGTAGAATATGCTGTGGTTTAAAGTGCTATTGTTGCTCTGGATGTGCTTTTATTTATTTATGTATTTATTTATTTATTTTATGCTAAGAAGTTAACCCCAGGCCCAGACTGTTTTTAGCTGGCTTCGCTCCAGGAATTCTCAATCCCAAAGGATCAGGCTTCCACCACCGTATTTGGCTGGTGTTCAGCCACACATAGAATGCCTTGTTTGTTGGTTGTACAGTGTTTTCCCCTCACGTTAAGGCAGGCTCGGACTGGGAACGAATTTCGGCCCATGGCATTTTTCCATCTACACCGGCCCACTTATGAACCCACTCTGGGGAAAAAAAAAAAAGCACAATCAAAAGCGTGTCTCAAGTGTGACTGAAATGAAAATATACCTGAAGCAACATCCGCAGCATCCACATTCCAGCACCACTCGCCACATCAGCTGGGTTGCCAGATGTCACTGACTCACGTTTTCCAGCCCAAAAAATCTTCATAAACCACCTCGATATACGAAATCTCGCCCAGTTCGAACCAAAGTCCATTGATCTCTTAGGCCATAAATCTAAAGAAAAAAAGATAGATTGTTGAATTACCCCAGTTAAAAGAAAGCAGAACTCACTCTCTCTTTTTATGATCTGTTAACTCATACTGTATTTCTATTGAGTCTATTGTTAAGAGTATTTAAAGAAATTAATTTTACAAAATTTTTTTATTATTTGATCTTAGATGGCATGACCAAAACAATGATGTAATTGTTAGTTTCCCTATGCTCTGTCACAGATGTCCGTCAGTGAGGACCTTCCAGACATGGATGGAGCAGACCTCTTTGGGCTGCTGTTCCATGATGGCAACAATGGAAGCACTGAGCCCTTTTCTCAGGGTGACAATGACCTTATTGAATCCTGGCTCTCGGAACAAGATGTAAGGCTTCGCAAAGCAGCGACACCTGATCCAAAAAAAAAACAATCCAATGCAATATATTTATCTTTAATTGTAAAGGATTGAATCTCACTGATTATTTTTCTCATTAGATACTGACCGGTGTGGATACTGAAGATTTCCTGTCTAGCTTGCTAGATGGAGATGACAAGGTGGAGGCATTCTGTCCCTCCCATTCCCCAATGGGGAGCGACAGCGGCATTTCTGATGACAGCAGCTCAGGCGGTGGAAACAACAACGACATAGTACCCAGCCCTGGCTACTCTCATCCCAGCCCCGTTCACTCTGATCCCACCCATATTCTGGAGGAGCTGCAAGCAGAAAGCTTTGAGACCCTGTCAGTCCATGCAGATCACAGCTACTCTCTGCTGCAGAGTGGAGCCAGGGACATGGACATGCTGGAAAGCGTCAGGGCAGAGAAGCCAGATGCAGATGTCTTCATTGATCTAGGTAGTTCCTGTTGTGCTTTGAATTTATAAAAAAAAAAAAAAAAACTAGAGCTTTCACCAGGCAGATCTCATTTATTTAAAATGAATTGTTGGTGTAACAGATGAGCTGGTGAGCGATGCCATGGAGGAAGACTTTACCACCGAGATGCCTTGTACTTTCTCCATAGAAAACTCTGCACAGGATTTAACTCAGACAAGCAAAGCAGATCAGGTTGGTGCCTCCTGCCTACTTACAGTTAGTCCAATAAAGTACAGTTTGATTAACTTTGTTGTAAGGTGTTCATTTGATTGGAAGCAACTCATGATAAAAGAAAATGTTTCATGTTTGATGACACAATCAAGGTTTTAGGATATTGTCTGATTTTTCTCCATCTAGTTCCAGTTTAAAGAGATTGTTTTAACTGAAGAGGAAAAGAGACTTTTGGCAAAAGAAGGAGCCACCATCCCTGAACACATGCCTCTCACTAAGGTAACTGTAAGCTTGCATATGATCACACCCTCACTAAACAGATTTCTGAATTTTTAATTCACATCTAGGGAGGGGTATTTTTTATTGCATGAAAATTAAAATGTTAATTTAATATTTTTCCATGATTCACTAGTATCATGATTATTGTCTGCTGCATTCATGCACTCAAAGACTGTTTTGCTTTGGGTAACAGGCTGAGGAGAGGACTTTGAAGAGGATCAGGAGGAAAATCCGTAACAAGCAGTCTGCTCAGGAGAGTCGCAAAAAGAAGAAGGTTTATGTTGATGGGTTGGAAAACAGGTAAGGAGCACAAATAATGACACAACTTTGAATTTAAATCTCTGTTTTAAAGTCTAATAAGTGCTCTATCTTTATGGGTGCTCTGATACCACAGGTGATGGAAAAAAAAAAGTGTAAAGCTTTTTTTTCTCTCTTGTATTGAAATAATTTTCACATTTCACACAGACACATGTAGGGAGAAGGGGTCCTCCCAGCATCCACCTACCTTCTCCTAATACTAAATTATTATTTAGCTATTTTTTTAGATTGAAATTCTGTGCTCGATTTATTGTGGTGCATAGGGGACAGAAAGCAGGTTTTTAAAATTCTGCATTTATTTAGAAGAAGCAAAGGTAAAAGTGTCCCGTTATTGATATCAGTGAGAACTTTATTTTTCGATTATTTTTTATACACTTTTTAAGGTCCACATTTGTGTGACCACTTTTGCGATAATCTTTTCCTGCTTTAACGCCACAATTTCCCCATGGTGGGAAAATAAAGGGATTTTTCTATTCGATTCTATTCTGAACCAGAGCAAATTAAAAATCTCTGGTGTCCTGAAGCAGTTTAACTTGTCCTGTGTTGTAGTACCTGTAATATTTTTTTTTTTCTGAAAAACCCACTGGATTTTATGCAAACTTTTCTATTCTAGGCTTTTTTCTTTATGTTTCTTAAACAGTATTTTTCGAAGAGTTCTTTATTTTTTGTAGTTGCATTGTTTGTTTTTTGTTTTTTTGGCTCAACCTCGAATATTATTTTTTTTTCAAAACTGGTGCTAATAAGGGAAGTCGTGGGACAATTGATCAGATTGTATCTCCAGGGTGTTGGTACCAATACAAAGACACTAATTAGTGAGGGATTTTCTTCAACAGGGTTGCTGTCTGCACTGCACACAACCTGGAACTTCAGAAGAAAGTCCAGCTGCTTCAGAAACAGAACATGTAAGCAAACGTAGATTTTTCTCCCTTGTTCATTGTTTTTTTTAACAAACTTGTCACACTAAAGTGTCCTTCCTGCTCCTCGTAGGTCCTTGATTGAGCAACTGCGGAAACTCCAGGCTATAGTAAAGATGTCTACTCTGAAGGCCAGCACAACCAGCACTTGTGTTATGGTAAATCTTTCTGCTAAAGCTATTTTTTATTTTTAACCATTGGTGTGTTTTTATTTCTCACTGTGATTTTCTTTGCTTTCTTTAGGTGTTCCTGCTCTCTTTTTGCCTCATCATCTTTCCGTCAGTTAATCCATTTGGTGGAAACACTGAACTAAAGGAGCCCTACACACCTTCATCCGGTGAGTTTACTAAAGGCTTTCACTTGTTTTTATTGAGTTTGGAGTAAATGCATCTGTTGTATTACCAGCATAGAACTTTCTTCCTTTGATTTTTGCAGTCCTTTCCCGCACCTTGCGCTCAGTGCCGTCAGAGAACACAGATCCTGCATTTTACATGGAGGCTGAGGAGGATCCACTGATCTTGGTTTCAGAGGTGGTGGAGAACACCAAAGCCATCTTCTCAGGGGGCCAGAAGAACCACACCCCTGACTATCAGAGGGTGGAGCAATCCGACTCTGAGACAGGCGTTAACAGCAATTCCTCTGCAGACATCCCCAGTCCAGCTCAGGCGGCAGAGATGAAGCCCGGGTCGCCCGGCGGCGTGGGTCCTTTGAAGGAAGGGTCCATCGATCCTGTGGTGGCGGCAGCAGCAGCTGTGACATATGATGTCCCGGGATCCAAGGAGAGCTGGATTGACCGAAACCCCCCATCTGTCATTTTACAGCAGCATCGCTCTGATGAGATGTAGTAGAATTTTAACCACAAGAACCAGCAGGGGGAGACATTTTCTACCTGTAAAAAGAGGGAAGCTTAAACTTAAAAAAAAATTGGGGATGAAGGTAAACAAAAATAATGTTATCTATCCATCTGTTTTTTTTGTTCCTTTATTCTCATCTACTGCAGTTTTATTTATTTTTTTTGCACATTCAATTTTACTTCATTTGAAGACTTCCAAAGACTTTAATTATAAACTACTGTATATTTCCATATTTAAAAAGGTCAGTGGTGCCATAATTTTAATATCTGGTGTTCTGAAGGTCACATGCTACTGATGTAGCCCCAAGGGGTTTTAAAATGCTTCGAAATGTGATGACCAACACTTGTAGGTCTGAATTTGCAAATTGGAAACACACATACCTACATACATTTTCTTTTTTTTCACACAAAATTTAGATGAGAGACTTGTTTTTATTTTTGCCTTCAGCAGATCCTGATATGATTCTAAAAAGCACTGCTAAATTGTCATTAAAAGAAGTCCGGCGCCTCGCTGTAGGTTTTTTTTTTTAAAGAAAAGCTGCTTGACTCTCATAAAGCATGGTTGTTCGACCGCTGTATGTATTGCTAAAGCCATTGCAGGACATTTGGCCATTTAAAAGACTAGTAAAGTTTGTTACTATATCCCTTGTACCAAGGGTCTCCATGTGCTTTGTAATTTCACAATGAATTTTTGTTTATATTAGAGTAAAGCTAGAGACAATAGTGAATCATTTGCCCTGAACCCAGTAAGTACATTTTTTTTTGTGAAGCCCAGTCTGTTTTAACAATATTTTACCAGGAAACAAAAATAACTTTCCATTCCTTTGAGGAGAAGAGGGATCGTTAAGTATTTGCTCAGTGAAGTATTTGCAGTATACTCAAATACGTAATTTGTTAGTGAGACATTTTTTCTGTATATATATTTTTTTGTCAGTAATATATATGTATAGGAAATTTAAATGGTATTGGAAGAGCTTTGATTCAAGTAACATGCGATGAGATTTTAAATGTTAGTCATGTCAAAAGAAATGCACTGTCATTGGAAAAAGTATGAGAATTAATGTAAATAGAATATGATTGTTATTTTTTTTCCTGTACATAATGACTTAATGTATAATACATGTCTGAATATATATCATAATAAACTTTTTTATGAATAAGATGAAAACGTTGCATATTTATCTTTGGCATCTGCGCTGGTATTACACAGGACCTTAAGCTTTCATTGTTTGCTTACTTTATTACTTGTTAAATTAGGGGTTCCTCTCTGTGGTTTTTGAGCTTTCTGAACTTTTTCTCAAGGCCAAGGTGTTTTATACAGTTTCCGATTGACTATTTTATAGAAGTAACATATATTACACATTTACTGCATAAGAATGTTCTGACTTGAGCCTTCATTTTAAAACTAACTCAAATAATTATAACCCTGAACATATGTTTATAGATGTAGAAATGGGTTTAGGTTAAATAAGTGGAGGGTCATAAGGCTGATGAAGTGATGGAGGAGCAGACAGACAGATGGGAAACTGATGAACTTAAAAATGAATGAATGGAAAGGAGATTGAAAAAATAGATCAGTGGATGGATAGATTCATAAATTTATTATGGAGCAGGAACGGCCTAAATATTCCATATAGATTAAGATCTGAGAAATAATTACATTTTGTACTTCACTGTCATTAAACATAGGGCTGCTAATCATGAGAGCTCTTAATGCACTCCTTTAAACTTATCTGGGACGGTACGATTATCTAATTGTTATGGTTCTCCCCTTGTGTACTTCTATTTGAGTTTCTTTTTAAAGTTTTCTGTTCCACTTAGATTTATGTTATACTGTTTTCTCGTTCAATGGTTTCTTTTACCATTTTGTGCTATTTTGATGCAGTTTTGTATGTCTTGAGTTACTCTCTGTTGCCCCCTAGTGCCTGTTTCCTTTCCCCTTGGCTCTCTTCTAGTTAGTTCTATTCACACCTGCTCCATATCAGCTTATTAGCCAAGCCTTTGTTCTGTTCCCCATATATACACCACCTCTGCAGTTCCTCAGTGCTGGTTTGTTGTTTTATTGCTTGGCTCTTTGTGTGAGTTCCCTGCCCTGGTTTTTGGTTTCTAGTATTCTGCTCTTGCATTTTGTTTTTGTACCCCTTTATTTTATTAAACCTGCAAGTATTCATCTCTACATATGGGTCCTCAACCAACTTCCACCCTCACTTGGACAATTATGTAGCTTTAAAAGTATATATATATATATATATATATATATATATATATATATATATATGAACTGAACTGAAGCTCCAATGTTTTCTTTTCAGTGTGTGTGTCTCGTAGCAAGGGAGAATATTTATATTTCTTGAGACTGCAGCCATTTGTCTGACCTTAGCGGCAAACTCAGCTGTGCGGGGAAAACACAGGATAGAAGCTGAGTCACAAATCTGAGGCTGGATTCATGAGTCACGCGCTTCCACAAAAACGTGTCCAGGCTTGTTGGCCTGATGCGGGAAAGGTCGCTCTCTGAGTAACCAGCAGAGGGCGCTATTATCCTGTTTTTCTGTCTATGAAGGGGGGCCAGTATAGCTCAGCAGCTGGTGTGCGGTTCAGCTGAAAAGTCATTCAGTTATCATGTAGGCAAACTAATTTGCATTGAAATAAATGTCAAACGACAAATTCGACTCATTTAAAAAGTAATGTAAAAAGAAAACATTTAACCGTAAGTATAATTCCTGTAACTCGTGTTTTTGATGCTTGGTAGAAGGTTAGGGGTTAAATTCTGAGTTAGAAAAACATTTTTAAACAAGGAAAGAAGCAACCCCCCACCCGGTAGCCTATGTTTGAAAGGACAATGATGTTGCATGTAAGCATCTGCTATACCACTGATAAGATAAATTGGGATGATAAGCTCCAGTAGTCAGCACGTGTCCGTGTCCTGTTTTTTTTTTTTTTTTTTTGGGGGGGGGGGGGGGACATCTGTTGCGGGTCACCCAAAAAAATCCAATGTCCATAGGGGGTGGGAAAATGGTGCGTGCATGTTCCAAGAAATGCAACACTTACATGCTTTTAAACCGTGCTGGACACCGTGCGCGTGGAGTGGAAGAAGGACGGTTGTGGGGAACAGTTTTTTTTTTTTTTTTTTTTTGTCCTTGGGGACACGGCACGCGTCTAGCCAGGCTGATGTGATTAGCCGCCCCGCCCCCACCGCTTAAATAAAGGGGAACAAAAGGTGGCGTGTGCCCAACTCAACAGACTGCTTTTCAGCTTTATTGAAAACTGCCAGGTTAAAACTGAAAGGGTCTTGGTTGTTAACCTAACCTGCAAACACAGACATATAAATGACAGACAACCACGCACACACTAACACCAATTTCAACTGGCCAATCAGAATAATGTTTATTTCTGGCATACAGGACTTAATTGTTGTCATTCAAAAGTGCTGAAAAACAATAATTTGAATAAAATTTAATAAATTATTTTAAAGAAAGAAGAATCCAAAGCGCTTTACTCTACATTCAGTCATTAACCATACACTTGAGTTGGTACTCCTGCATCCTAAAGGCTGATTTATACTTCGAAACCAGGTCCTCTACGTAGATGTTGCAGTGAACAAATGGACATCCCCAACCCCCTCCACAGACACTCTGGTGCAACTCTCCCAAATTGTAACTGATAGTGCCGCAGACAGGAGGCCGGCTTGTATTGTTTTTATGACAGAAATTGCGGAAAAGGTGCGAAGGTGCCGGAGAACGCTGGGACCCTTTTCCCACCTGGATCCCCGCTATTTTCCGCCATCATGTCACTCCGTTGTCGGACAAATTCGCCCCCACTTGCTCACTGCCTTGGCCGTATCTAGACCCACAGCGTATAGCACAGAACACGCTTCAATATTGAGCATAATTCAAAAATGTATGCGTCAAGCTCACTGCAACACACTGCTGCAGGAGTATAACCAGCCCTTAACTCACTGTTTAACAGCACTAAAACTGGGCATACACTGTACGAGTTTTTGCCCTTTTTGGTTGAGTGAGAATTTTTCAATCAGCCAACTTTCAGCCTCGTCGTGCGTCGCGTAGTATACAGGGGGTAATTAGGGGAGATTAGCCTCTCAGAACCAACTCCCGATCAGGAATCGTAAGGTCGAGAGAAAATCAAACATGTTTGAAATTCAATCAGCCGTGAGCTGTTTACCTCTACACCCTGTGATTTCATCATACAGTTTAAGCTGTAGCTGCGTTCAACAATTGAAAATATCGAACAGTGTATGCCTGGCTTAAGTGATTCTCGGGTCACGCTCCCCCTACAGGACCTTTTGAACATAGCACTGTTATAAACACTGACTACCCTCCATGAACCCTGAGCTACAGCAATCTAAGCAGCTTCCAACTTCTGACAGTTTTTAACTTATAAAACCAGACACACATAATGTGTTACACACTCTTTTTGTAAGTATTTGCTTTTGTGTTTGAACGTACAACATTGATACTCATGACTTGAATTATAAATAACTGTTAAAAACCTGTTTTATTTCAATCATCCCTTCTGGGAGTTGATCTGAATTGAAAGTGCAACTAAAAGAAAGCAGTTAATCATGCTTATAAAACAAGTTGACATATCTTACCATTATAAATGATTACATTGGAACACAAAAAGTTTGAAGCTGCTGGCATTACACATATAAAAACATAAATAGTAATATACTGATATAACTCTCACAGAAGCCAAAAGGGTGCATAGAAGAAAAAGGGGTATTGAATTTTCAGAAGTTATATCTTGATAAACAGTAATAACTTGATTAATCAAAAGAATCAGCCCTACCTTCTAGTCTAATGTCTGAACTGAAAAGCGAGCTGTCTGATTTTTTAAACCAGTCCAGCTTGTATGCCAACTATATATAGGTTAAAGGGACAACACAGCAGTTTTTAGAGTGCTCTTCAGGAGACTTCAAGAAGTCTCGTCTGATTATTAGGGTCAGGACAGGCTTGTAGATGTCTCTTTCGGGAGGGTTCTGTCACCTGACTGTAAACAGTACAGCCGGTTAAGTAAGAGGATAGAAAGCTGTTTATTAAGGGCAAAGGGAGGCTGGGCGGGGAAAGTTTGCTATGTAAAACCTTCCCAGTGATTCCCCAAGCAGGGAAAGTACTTATCTTAAAATAACCTCCCAGTATTTATCATGGAAGGTATTTATTTCTCCACTCTGTTTACTCAAATATGTCACAATTCATAATATTGAAAAGAGAAAAAACCCCAGAAATATCATACACCTTATGTATTTTTCAATTGCACCTGTTTTCCTGAGATCTTAATCTTGGGAAACTCGCAGTCAACCTATTATACTAAAAAAGCCTTTAGAGCATATTTTTGTAGTTATTAATATTTAGAATATTGAATAATAATACTAAAACGTAATAAATATTGGAAGTAGATATTAGACGTCTAAATTTATAGAAACAATAAAAAAACCTTTATTTATTATATGTGCAAGTTGCTTTGTCTTTTCAAACCTTTGAAATTTTGCAACATTAATTTTTTTTTTACATATTAAAATGTATCTATATACCATAAGGAAATGTGGCTCTATAACCATATTTACAATATCTGCTTTCAGAGGGGCAACTTAAAGTACTTCTTAAAGAAGTTTAAAGCAACTCTTTCAAAGTCATTAAAAATAATTGTTACATGTTTAACCTATATTGAATGTAAAATGTATGTTATTAAAAAGATATTTGTAAATATTCTCATAAGACCTCGCCTCCTCACCGCCGCTAAATACTGCTACTAGATGTAACTGCAGGAGCTTTCTTTAAGTCATTTCACGTGATGTTTCCACATATTCCATATTTGCACCAACAAATGTTTGCACCTGAGCACGGTGGTGTTGATGTGCACGTAATTAATGTAAAACATCATGGGTTATAGCATGGAGCCCCCTGGGTGTCAGGGTAAAAAAAAAAAAAAAGCCGGTGGAAACCCGTGGGCACGGATTGATAAACTTTGCGCACGATTTTCCAATCCGTGCACTCAGATTAAGAAACTGTGCTCTCGGTTTTTTAATCCGTTTATTAATCCGTGCGCACACAGTATGTTTAGTCAATTAATTGTTATATAGATATAAACATATAGACTTAGTGCAGTGCGATGCTTTAATGAGCATGCTTTAGAGCTTGAACTTGCATCTAA